CAGCTCTAAAAAGACAACGGTGTAATTGTTCGGCTGAAGTCAGTTCAGTGTTGACTCAGCTCATTTCAGTCACTGTGTAAAGTTCATCAATTAAATAATTCAGTTCGAGTGTGGAAGAAAGCACAGAAACCGGGAAGAGTCATCCAGGGCAGGATCTGTGGGTCGGGAATATTTTGGTCACAGGAGTTCACAGAGGAGCTTCTTCCAGATGCGTTTAGAGCGCCACGTCATGATGCTAAAAGACGCGAGCGTAACAGTTAAAGACATCCGTCTGTCATTTACACACAAAAACAACAGCAAATCCCGAACCAGCCGAACAACAATCAATAATAGTCATTGGCAAACTGCACAACATACAAAAAGAGTTCAGAAAATTGTGATTATAATCGAAATTCAATTTTTTTTCCTGTAAGTTCTTTACAGAAGCCGTCTGAAGAGTGAACCCCTAAAGCTTGTGCACTACTACCTTAGAGTAGTAAATTTACTCTAGTACTACTATGAACCCTTTAGGGGTGAATGAGGTCCACAGATGTTCCTCTGAGGGAATGACCAGCTGTTATTCAAGTCTAAAAGAGTCCTTTATTGAACTTCCAGACAAAAGGACTCAACAGCTCTAGGAGTTCAACACTGAACACTCGCCGTACCCCAAACAAGCTCACAGGACATGAGGATAGCGTGGTGGAAAGAACTGCACGTGGGATGAGAAACGTAGCCGAGACACGACCGCGATCTCCCACCATCAGCCCTCGTGAACACACACGTGGAGGAACATGCAGAGAGCGCTGGATGACTCAGGTTCCTGATGGAGGAGAGTCACTCGTGCGTGGTCCGACACCGGCTGAAGCGTGACTGAGCGAGCCTCGGATCAGGGAAGATCGTGGGCTCAGAAGCAGAGCCGGGTCAGACCCGTCCAGTGTGTGTGAGAGAGACCAGAACCATCTCTGACCAGATGCCAGAACTTTATAGATTTTTTTACCAGGTTTTACAGACTAACTTTACATTTACAGTAAAATACCGTATTTCATTATCGGATATAATCTACTGAAGCACTAATATCTGTTGTAATACACTGACAACCACCAATCACAGCGGAGATGAGAGTCACATGATGAATCAAAGCTCATCGCAAACAGCTTTTCCTCAAGAAAGTTCATTCACACAAACACTAAACGCCATCGTGGTGACGCACATTACATTACAAACAATAAAATAAACATTTAACATGGTTAACTGAAATATAATCAATTTAATGCTATTTTACTGTAAATGTACGGTTAGATCGCTCTGTAATTCACAGTATATAGTACGGAAACTTTCTGTTAACCAATTAACAGTTTTCCACCGTAGTCTTTTACGTTAAAATCAGGATCATTTCTCCAGTGAGGCGTCGAGCGAGTGTGTGTTTCTCTTCTCTAAAAATAACCATCACACACACACACACACACACACACACACACACGCAGCTTCAGAGAGATTACTGCCACCTTCCCGTCCAGATGAATGTCAGATCCACACACACTCGGGCAGAGTTTGGCTTAGCTTTGCTTTTCCCCCGTTCCTCTGTTCCCGAAGCTCTCGGAGACGTCAGCGCTCACACACACACACACACACACACACACACAGAAACGATAGGATCACGCTCATGCAGACCAGCGGCTCAGTCATGAAGACACCCCGGACTCCCAGAGCTGGAGATTCGCCGACTGCTTCACATTTAGACATGATGCAGAAACTCAAACGACCTCACCGGGCCACGGGTCAGATGTGGAGAACCAGCAGAACCAGCAGAAGCTCAGTCAGGGTCAGCTGTCGACAGAGACTTCATGAGCTAAAGACGTCTCCTCCGCATCCAGCAGACTAGTGCGATGCTATTAAAATCTTGATGCTTAAGTTATTGATTATGAAATTACTCATACAGTGATGAAACCTGCCCACCTCTAACACACTTCCCTCAGCACAGCGCTGAGTGTGTCCGAGACGAGCGCAGGAGAACGAGTGTGTGTCCAGAAGAGAAGAGTCAGTCCAGCTGACGTGAGTTCAGCGATGCTTCATTTCTGCTGTAATAGAGTTATTAATATAGTTCATATATATATATATATATACAGCCGCTCTGGAGGAGCCCGTGATGTCATCAGTTCTCATATAATACTGTCGATGCAGGAGATCAATAATATTGCTGAATATTAAATGAAACGTCCCAAAAGCCAATGGCACATTCAGGACTTGATGGAGCGGCGCTGTTAAACTGATCTCAGGACAGCAGGAGCGAGCACACACACACACACACTAACCCAGGGGTCCCCAAACTCGGTCCTGCAGAGGTCAGCTCCAGTCCTGATCACACACTCCTGTGAGTTCTGCTGGTCCTGAAGGCCGTGATTGGCTCGCTCAGGTGTGTTTGATCAGGGCTGGAGCTGACCTTTGCAATCCTGAACTAAACACACACACTCCTCCGGTGCGACTGTTTTAAAACCAATTATTTCAGAATTATTATACAGGCAGCTTTTATGAGCTCATATTAATTAAGAGACAAAATGGGAAATACTTCATTTGTCACACTCGCACAACCCTGTAGCTTTAACTGGAGAAGGATATTATAAACAGTTCAAGCTAAAAGGAAACGGTGAGTAATTACAAGACCTAAAACATTCACTTCTCCTAAAGTTCACGAAACTCAACATCTTTAGCCCAACAATATGTTATTGATCCACTGGCCAATCATACGTGTGCTTTCTGTGCTCCAATAAAACATATTTTCTTTCTGTAATGTTTAAATAATCTGATCCATCTGAGATCTTGCAGCAGTTTCGGCGTATAATGAGGACTGTGTGGAGCGAGAGCCACACACACACACACACACACACACTCCCGCGGCACTGACCAATGTAACACACATCAACCAACACACACTAACAACACACACTAACCAACACACAATAACAACACACACTAACCAACACAGGGCTCCAGACTGCAGCCAAAAACTGAGTGTGCGACTGAATTTTACATCCAGTCACGTGTGCAACTAGTGATTTTGCCTTTTACAGGTTAAGCGCGTCAGTGAATCCGGGACGGGTGTCGGGCCGATGAGTGTGTCATGAATGGCCACGGTCAGCGCTGCTAATGAGTGGATCTCTCATCCCGCCGTGCGTCTGGGCAATGAGCGATCTATCGACTCGTTACAGAGCAGCGGATGCAAACCGAATGAGAGCGGAAAGAAAAGGTGCTGCTCATTTATGCTTCACGGACCGTTTATTAGTTCGGACCAATAATAGACAGCGCAGCGCCCGAACCTGCCAGTCGCGGGCCGATCTCGATCTCCTTTGAGCCCGCCTCAGAATTACATCATCATAACATCATCATCATCGCTACGAGATGCAGCTCTGATCTAGAGCAGATATCAGACGAGGAGACAGGAGAAACGCTCTCAGCAACACACACACACACACACACACCGTCAGGCTAATGCAGGAACTGAACTACAGTCACAGCTAAAGTACTACACATCTTCCTCCAGCACTTCAGAACTACAATATCACTTATTAATGTTATTGTGAATGTGATGACCAGCACTTTTTTCTTTTTTTTTTTGTTCATCCTTCAAAGATTGTCCTACAAGGACATTTTTTATGTAGGAAAACTCTTATTTAAACACTAATTTAAAAAGAAAAAAAAACATTGAAAACAGTAGGTTTTGTCAGCCCAGTGTTCGGTCTACCAGACCTGTCTGCAGAACTCACTGACTAATGCAACACACACACACACACACACACTAACCAGTGCAACACACACACTAACCAGTGCAACACACACACTAACCAGTGCAACACACACTAACCGTTAGCAGGGATTCTCAACTCCAGTCCTCGTGACCCACTGCTCTGCATGTTGTGTATGTCTCCCTCATTTAACACACTGATTCAGATCCTCAGCTCCCCTATCTATCCTAACGAGCTGAGGATCTGAATCAGGTGTGTTAATAAGGGAGATATGCAGAGCAGTGGGTCACGAGGACTGGGTTGAGAACCCCTGCACTAACCAGTGCAACACAAACTAACTAACCAGTGCAACACAAACTAACTAACCAGTGCAACACACACTAACTAACCAGTGCAACACACACTAACTAACCAGTGCAACACACACTAACTAACCAGTGCAACACAAACTAACTAACCAGTGCAACACACACTAACACCAGCCTGAATATTCCCTAAACTAAGCTCAATATATCTGATCTGATGGAGAATATTCACACTCAGGCCTGAGACACACACACACACACTCGTGCTCCTTATTCACTCGCTTTTAAAACTGTGGAATAGTTTCCCCTTCTCTCTCTCTATGAAACACACACTCTCTCTCTCTCTCTCTCTCTCGCTCACACACACACACACACTCTGCTATCGCGTCATTTCTGAGATGCTGCAAATGCGTCTGTAAGAATGATTCTGACTAAAGAGCGAAGATTCAGTACAATAGTCTGGTCTTTCTTTCTTTCCTTCCTCTCCTCTCTCTCTCTCTCACACACACACACACAAACACACAATCAGTGTTGCACATTTTGCAATTGGCTAATGATCATTTTAATATCTACGCGAAGTGTCTGCAGTGTAAAGCGCATTACAGGACAGAAATAACCTTCATATTCTTCGCATCAGAGTCTCACACACTCACTCTCACACACACACACACACACACACACACACACACACACACCAGCCGTAAATCAATCATGATTTAAATGTTTCGCTTTAAAGCAGCGGGTTATAACGAATCACGACAATCAGTCAATTAATTCAGTTGTGTTATTTGTCCCTTTACATTTCTCTTTATACGTTAAAGTTTATTCTGGATTAATTGAAGAAAAAATAATTTGATTAAATTTACCGCATGTGAACAACGAAACATTTAAATGCTGATTTCAAATACATTTCTGAATCAAACTTTCACAGATAATGAGCGAGAATAAATGTGCCGAAAACATATGATCATCTCACCCGGAGTGATGGAGACAGATATCAGCAAACAGAAGCCATCAGAGCCGAGGACCCAGTCTGACCAGTGCTGTGCTCTCCGGAACCAGTGCTCGGCCCACAGACGAAGGGAATCTGGAGAAATCTGGAAGAAAATCCCCATCTGTGTTTGTCACGAGATAAATCCTGTTCATGGCGCGCTGGAGAACACCAGACTCATGAGGAGGAAGAGGAGGAGAGATCGGTGATGATGAAGATGAAGCCTCAGTGAGGTGTGTGTGTTCTCGTCATCGGGTGTGTGTTATTGAGCAGGTCCAATTTCTCCATCATCCTCGCGGATCTCCCGAATCTCCAGCCCGCAGTGCGAGTCTCATCAGCGGCTGCAGATCAGCGAGCGACCCGCTCAAACACCAGCGACCAGCCTGAGTGTGTGTGTGTGTGTGTGTGTGTGTGTGTGTGAGAGAGAGAGAGAGAGAGAGAGAGAGAGAGAGAGAGAGAGAGAGAGAGAGAGAGAGAGAGAGAGAGAGAGAGAGAGAGAGAGAAGAGAAGAGAGAGAGAGAGAGAGAGAGAGAGAGAGAGAGAGAGGAGAGAGAGAGAGAGAGAGAGAGAGAGAGAGAGTCACTGCAGACGCGCACTGCCGCCCAATGGAGAAGATCTTCTGATTCTAGCAGCCATAATGCAGGTGAGGGACTCTCTCTCTCTCTCTCTCTCTCTCTCTCTCTCTCTCTCTCTCTCTGCCCACACTCACACACACTCTTTCTCTCTATCAAACACACACTATAACACATACACACACACACACCGGTTTCTTCGATTATAAATGCGTTTGGATAGACCAGTTTCCTCAAGTTTGTTCATTTATACTGGTTTGTTGAAACACGTGTTGTTGGTTCAGATATAAGGACTCATCGGTTTGCTGGTGAAGTGATGGGTTTTCACAATTATTTTCTACTTGTCAAAATATCATTTTGTGTATAATAAAGAGTGAAGATAATTAATAAGAAATTAAATGAATATACACTCTTTAAAATCCTGATTCATTGAATTGTATTTCCTAGAGTGATTTGTTTGTTTGTTACTCATGTGAAAGTGTGTGTGTTTCCTAAACCGAGTTATTTATACTCAGTAATAAGTCTACACACACACACACACACACACACACACACACACACCCACACCCGTAGGAGTAAAACATCTTTGATCAAGCCTGTTGTTGATTATGATTAGAAATAAAGCATCTGCATATTAACAGTTTCTTTGTAAATATATGCACGTCGTGTGCTGGTTTATTCATGACAAAAAATATATAATTAATTTATATCTATTAAACATTTATCTGGAGGATCTTTTCTGATGTGTCTTCATATCAGGACGATTGCACAACTGGATACGGGATTCATTTGAGCTAACAGTTATGATGGGATAGTCTTAAAATACTGTATATCCAAAATATACAGAATAAAAAATATATATACATAAAATAATTTTTAGGAATTGAGGAAATTATGATAAATAATATTTTTAAGCAAATACAAGCAAATCGGATGATCAGTGCACACCGAGAATGGAGGACTACAGAAGTGTGTGTCGTACCAGTCCTGCAGGCCACGTCACGATTGTCTGGTGCTCCACTTGAGTTCACTTTGTCATTTCCAGTCTTGTGCTGAGTTTTGTAGTCCTTAAAACCTTGCCAACTGACCAGTAACAAGGGAAACACAAGGGCCAGCATTTCCACAAAGCTCTCAGGCCCCCAGAGTATCCTGTTGGATGAGGATCTGAACACACAATATGGGGAAGCATTGTGTTAAAAATGTTGGAAAATCTTGTCAATGGCAGGGAAAGAGTAAAAATGTAGAAGATAGACATTCAAAAAATGACAAAATTATGACTTAAAATTTAAAACTGTTCCGAAGTTTCCGAAGTCTACGAAGTCTTCTTTGTAGCCCAAAGAATTCCCTGCAATCCATTAAAATATGGCAGAACTTCATCTGAGCTCCTTTTAAACCACCCTGACCCATTACTGACCGAGATCAACCCATGTAGACGTGATCAAACCAGTATATAAGAAACCAACACATCTAAACCAATAGATAGTTGATGAAACTGATGTCCATAAACCATAGTTGAAGAAAACAATATACACAAACCAATGTATGATTGAAGAAACCAATATATACTTGAGGACACCGATGCATTTAAACCAATATATTTATAAACCAATGTGTTTGTCATTAAACCATACATTCAACCAGTGAACCAATCCATAACAATCCGCCACACTGCCATCATCCTCTTAGGAGACAGTTTACACACTGACTGGGATTGGGATGGGAGGATGACTGGGATTGGGATGGGAGGATGACTGGGATGGGAGGATGACTGGGATTGGGATGGGAGGATGACTGGGATTGGGATGGGAGGATGACTGGGATTGGGATGGGAGGATGACTGGGATGGGAGGATGACTGGGATTGGGATGGGAGGATGACTGGGATTGGGATGGGAGGATGACTGGGATTGGGATGGGAGGATGACTGGGATGGGAGGATGACTGGGATTGGGATGGGAGGATGACTGGGATGGGAGGATGACTGGGATTGGGATGGGAGGATGACTGGGATTGGGATGGGAGGATGACTGGGATTGGGATGGGAGGATGACTGGGATGGGGATGGGAGGATGACTGGGATGGGAGGATGACTGGGATTGGGATGGGAGGATGACTGGGATGGGAGGATGACTGGGATTGGGATGGGAGGATGACTGGGATTGGGATGGGAGGATGACTGGGATTGGGATGGGATGATGACTGGGATTGGGATGGGAGGATGACTGGGATGGGAGGATGACTGGGATTGGGATGGGAGGATGACTGGGATTGGGAGGATGACTGGGATGTTCCCGGTGTGTGTGAGGAACGTGAGGCTCATGAATGGCTCTTGTTTGATTCCTCCGTCAGGGCATTGGCTCCAAAGCGCTTCTCTGTGAGGGGAATTTCGATGAAGGGCTTCGACACCAAAGAAAAGAGTCTCAGAGCCTGAGCGGCGCCTCTGTCCTCTCGTGTCGAGTCGGGACAAACGTGACCCCGCAATCAATGGAAAAACAGACAAATGAGGCTTTGATCGCAAAGAAATCGATCCGCATCAGTTCTGTTCTGTCATCTCAAACCAAACCATCACAGAAAAACCAGCCCACACATAAAACACACAACACACACACTTAGTTTGTTTGGTTTTTAATTTAGGCCGCTTGGATAGGAAAAACTTTACAAAGATGCAAAAATCCTTATTTGCATATTAAATACAGACTCAGGGAGCAAGTGAATTAGGAGCTTTTTAATTGAGATGAGTGTCAGAAAGCTTCACAGTCTTCATCCTGCTGCCAAAGTTCATTCGTTTAAAATAATTTTAAGAGTTTAAGATAAAACTAAATTAATAGATTACACTTTACAAGAACATATTATTTAGTATTTTCTATATTTCAAAATTTCACTAATTCCATGTCCCAGTAAACCAGTATTAGACTGTAAAAAAATCTCAATTTATTATATTTTGTTTCTTTTTCGCAGGTGTTTTTTTTTATTATTATTATTTACTTACTGCCAAAATGTGTTTATATTATATATATTGTCAGTTCATATACATTGGACAAGTCAATTCGATCGAATCAAATCAGAAAAATTAAATCATGACCATCAGATTAACTATAATTACTGGCAATATTTCAGTAAATCAGGATGTGTGTCCTCGAGCTCCCGAATGGCCAGCTGGAGCAGACAGAGACTCGGGCCGATCTGTGTGTGCAGATGAGGATGATGGGTAAATATTAAGCGTACCATCAGTTCTGGCGGGTCATGTTAGTCAATCTCTCATCAGGGACTCTCAGCTGATACATGTCTACCTATAGGAATACAACTCCTATCCCTGTATACATACACTCTCCTAAAGGATTATGAGGAACACCTGTTCAATTTCTTATTAATGCAATTATCAAATCAACCAATCACATGACAGTTTCTTCAGTGCATTTAGGGGTGCGGTCCTGGTCAAGACGATCTCCTGAACTCCAAACTGAATGTCAGAATGGGAAAGAAAGGGGATTTAAGCAGTTTTGAGCGTGGTATGGTTGTTGGTCTCTGAGTATTTCACAATCTGCTCAGTTACTGGGATTTTCACACACAAACATTTCTAGGGTTTACAAAGAATGGAGTGAAAAGGGAAAAACATCCAGTATGGGTCAGTCCTGTGGGCCAAAATGCCTTGTTGATGTTCGAGGTCAGAGGAGAATGGGCCGACTGATTCAAGCTGATAGAAGAGCAACTTTGACTGAAATAACCACTCGTTACAACCGAGGTATGCAGCAAAGACACAACACACACAACCTTGAGGCGGATGGGCTACAACAGCAGAAGACCCCACCGGGTACCACTCATCTCCACTACAGATAGGAGAAAGAGGCCACAATCTGCAAGAGCTCACCAAAACTGGACAGTTGAAGACTGGAGAAATGTTGCCTGGTCTGATGAGTCTCGATTTCTGTTGAACATTCAGATGGTTGAGTCCGAATTTGGCGTAAACAGAATGAGAACATGGATCCATCATGACTAAGTGACTGACTGATTAACCGACCGACTGTTTGTCTGACTAACTAACTAATTGACAAACTATCTAACTAACTGACTGACAGACTAACTAACTGACCAACAAACTGACTAACTAACCTACTAACTAACTGATTGACTGACTAACTAACTGACTAACTAACTGACTGACTAAATAACTAGCTGACTGACTAACTGACTGACCAACTGACTGACTGACTAATTTACTGACCTACTAACTAACTGAATAATTAAATAACTGAATAACTAACTGACTAACTGTCTGGCTAACTGACTAGCTGTCTGACTACCTAACTGAATAATTAAATAACTGAATAACTAACTAACTAACTAACTGACTAACAAACTTAACTGATTAACTGACTGACTGACTGACTGACTGACTGACTAACTGACTAGCTGTCTGACTACCTAACTGACTGACTTACTAACTGAATAATTAAATAACTAACAGACTAACTAACTAACAGACTAACTGACTGACTAACTAACTGACTGACTAACTAACTGACTGATAAGCATCAGTGGGACTCCAGGCGAGTATTAGCTGTAACACTGAAGAACTGTCATGAGGAAAACCTGACTGATCGACTGTGTCATAATCCCATCATCCACTTCAGGAGCGAGGCGAGAGAGTCAGAGAGATCGAGTGCTGCTTTCCAACTGAAGCTTTGCTTGAGATTCAAGAAGGCTTGATTAGTTTTCAGGTTCTCCTGCAGGAGAGATGATCATACAAACGCTCACAGAATATCCACTGGTTTTCATGAGAGGATTGTGGGATTTAGTCTTGATGAACACTTGAGTGTCCGACCCGACGTCAGGATCTTC